CTCAGGTCCTTGCAGTGCAGGGTCTACATCTAAGGGTGAGTATCTCTTTAAATTTTTCTAACTTGAGTGCCTCTTGCCCTCTCTCTTAAAGAGAAACTGACTCAGGGGCTGACTCTGCACTTGCACTCCTGAGAGTGGCTGCCTCCTTAAACGCTGTGCCCTGAGCACCTGTGTGCTTTGCCCTAGGCTGGCCCTAGGCAGGGCAAGGATACAACATAGTGATGACAGGAATGCCGTGTGTCCGAAGGCAAAGTCGCTGTTTAGGTTGGCTTGCTCAAGGCTCTGGAATGGCCCGGAAAGGAAATCAAATCTAAATATTCATGAATTCCAGGGCCATGCATTTCAGTCCAAAAGTCATCGCCAAGCTAGAGTGAGGTCCAATAATAAAATAAGTTGAAGCAGAAGCTGAGTCTAAAAGATGCTCAGGGGAGTGTAGAAGCAAGAAGAACACTGGAAAGGCAGGCGCCAAGACGAATCAAAACACAGGCTCTTGTGGGCACGGGGGTCGATAGGATCTTCACAGGCTCACATTTTATTTGCTACGTGATATTTCATCGTGAGAATAGAACCTAATTGTTCTGGGTCACAGCCTTATTGAAATATAATTCACAAAGCATATGATTCATCCATTTAAAGTGTACAACTCAGTGGTGTTTAGTATAGTCACAGAGCTGTGCAACCATCACGAAAATCTTAGAGCATTTCCATCACTCTAAAGAGAAACCTCATGCTCTTTACCCATCACTTCCAACCCTCTTCCTCACTCCCAGTGCTAGGCAACCACTAGTGTAATGCTGAAGCTTCAATAGCTTGACCACCAGATGCAAAGAGCTGACTCACTGGAGAAGACCCTGATGCTGGGAAAGATTGAAGGTAGAAGGAGAAGGGGATGACAGATGAGATGGTTGGATGGCATCATCGACTCAATGGACATGAATTTGAGGAAACTCTAGGAGATAGTGAAGGACAGAGGAGCCTGGCATGCTGCAGTCCACAGGGTCACAAAGAGTTGGACAGGATTTAGCAACTGAAAAATGACAACAAAGTGTGATTTATTTTCAAATGTTTGCAATATTGATCATTTGAGTTGTTTTCAATATTTCACAATTGTAAGCAATGCTCCATGGGACACATGTAAAGGAGGAATAGGCACTGTTGCTGTCAGGTGGATCCTGTATACGGAAGAACCTTGCATTTTGCTGAGCACCTTGCTGACATGGGTGCACAGAGGAGGATGGGATCAGAATTCGACGGTAGAAGTGGGGTGAGTCCCCGAGTAATGGGGGACACATTTTCAGACTGGGAGGAGGTGCAACACTAGGGGTCGGGTTGAGAAAGTCAGATGGGAACGGACAAAAACACAGCAGGACTGAGCAGACATTCCTCAATAGCGCGGCAGTTGGCCATAGGTGTTCCCAAAGCGGGGATGACTGCTCGTCAACTCAAAGCTGGCTCTGTGGCTGTGGCACAGACTCTCCCCACACCGGCCCCTCCCCAGTCGTGGCAGTCTTCTGTACTCGCTGATGCACGCTTGGAAGCCGTGTGCATATGTCTGTACATGTGTGCACATGCATGTGTCAATGAGGAAGATGCCGAGGCTCCTTTTAGAGTGGATGTTATGTTAGTAAGGACAGTGTCTACAGAAGCAAGAACCTGAGGGCTTCTGTGAGTGCAAGAAGCTAAGTGGCCTTAAAATTCACCAAATCTTGGCAGCACTGTGCTGGAATGAAGAATTCAACCAATGGTTATGTTACCCAATCAGGGCTCATGCGCCCGCCCAACAGAAAGCCAATCTGACAGCAGCCATTTGCAGCAAAGTAAGGGTTGATTTGCAGTGCGCCAAACACGGAGAACGGGCAGCTCATGCTCAAAAGACCTGAACTCCCAGATGACTTTCAAGCAGGAGTTTTTGGAAACGGTGTTAGGGAACAGCTGTGTGAAACAGATGCTTAAAAAGCTCAAGGGCTTTCTTCTGATTGGTTGATGGTGAGGTTATTCCTTTAACAGGATGATGTTAAAGGAATCTCAGTTTTCTGGTTCCAACCAGGCCGAGGTCTAAATGCTTGTGGTCAGCATGGAGTCACCATCCTCCGCTTAGGTGGGGGCTCTCAGTTTCTGCAGAACAACCCAAAGATATGTGTTAGATCATTATGTACATCTCTTTAGTAGGGCCTAGGATTCCTATGAGTCTATGGTCCTCATCAGAGAAGGCAATGGCAACCCACTCCAGTACTCTTGCCTGGAAAATCCCATGGACAGAGGAGCCTGGTAGGCTGTGGTCCATGGGGTCGCTAAGAGTCAGACATGACTGAGCGACTTCACTTTCACGCATTGGAGAAGGAAATGGCAACCCACTCCAGTGTTCTTGCCTGGAGAATCCCAGGGACGGGGGAGCCTGGTGGGCTGCCGTCTATGGGTTCGCAGAGAGTTGGACATGACTGAAGCGACTTAGCAGCAGCAGCATTGTCCTCATCACTGACTAATTGAGCTTTGCTCTCTGGAACTTGGGGGAAGGCCCAGGAGACTAAAGCCACGCTTTCTGCAAACAAGAAATGAGGGAGGGGGCTTTTGTACCCAGAAGGGCCCTACTCGGTCCTGCTTGGGTTTAACTCCATCTTTTCTTTGATATTCCTCAGTCTTGAGGGGAATAGGAACCAGAGAGGGAAAGGAATAAAATTTTAGAAAGAACAGTTCCTCATAAACTCAGCAAGGGAACTCGATTTTAGGGGGACTTGTTTTCAATTAGATGTTCACAAGCTATGACTTCCCGGATGACAGCTGGGGTGGGCATCTTCATGAATGCACCACTTCCCTTCCCTTTCAAGATGATGTTTCCAAAGGAACTATTCCCAGGCCTGAAATAGCTGATCTGGAATGAATTAGGACTTCTGTGACTTGTGAAATGTGATGGTTTTCCCAGAGCCTTGCTCCAGCCTCCAGAGAGACTGGTAATGAACTGTGTGCCTCAGCTTGAACACATCAACTGCAGACACGCACCAGTTTAGTGGTGAAAAGTCATTCCTGGTTCTTGTCTTACCTGATGCCCCAGTGATAGACCCCAGGATATCATTCTAAGGTGGGAAATCTCTTCTCTAAGGAATTGTCCCCACTACAAGGTCTCAGCAGAGTAAGTAGCAGAATTAAGATGGCAAATCTGGATTTTAGACTCCTGACTATTTGTGAGTTCTTTCAGCTCTATTTCTTAGATATGATTAAGCCCAGAATGTCTGAAGAGAAATGTTTGGGAGGGGGGAAATAGTTTGGAGGGGATTGCACTCCAACAGGTGAGAAGAGACACAAAATTCCAAGGGCATCAGGGCTGGTGGTGCTCCTAAAATTGTCTCTCATCAAAGCAAATGATGTCATTTTTAGACAAAAGGACATAACTGTGTCCACACATCTATAGTTAATATCACAGACTAGGAAAGTGAAGAATGTCAAAGCTGTCTCCTCATGTGACTTCATAGTGTAGCTTTGCTTAATGAGATTTTGAGATAGAAACTTGGTCTTAGTCACATATTATAGTTTATTCTTTTTTTAGCAAGTAGCTTAAATTTTTTTAAAAATCAAGTTTATTTATTTATTTTTTGGCTAAGCTGGGTCTTCGCTGCTTTGCGAGGGCTTTCTCTAGTTGCGGCAAGTAGGGGCTACTGTTCGTGTGGCGCACGGGCATTTCACGGTGGCGGTTTCTCCTGTTGTGGAGCACGGGCTCAGTACTTGTGGCACGTGGGCTGAGTTGGTCTGCTGCACGAGAAATCTTCCCGGGCCAGGGATCGAGTCTGTTTCCCCCGCTTTGGCAACTGAATTCTTACCCACTGCATCAGCAAGGAAGTCCTAGTTCAATCTTTGCATGAAGTTCTTTTAGAATGTAACAGATGCTGAAAGAAGAGTTATACTATTGATAGCATGGTGTCTGGCACACAGTAGGTGCTCAAGAAATAAATAGTGAAGGGGTAAATGAAGAGAGGACTGAAGTAACCAAAAATCAACATTAGATTCATTTCTCAAGGATGAACTTTCAATTAAGTGACTTTGGTTATGATTTCTTTGGTTCTTCATGGAGATTTCTGTCTGTATATAGTGTTTTCCCCACATTTAGAAGGTTGGGCTCTTTCTGCAACTCAGTCTGATGGTTTTGATTTAAATAACGCCATTGGACATGAGTTTGAGCAACTCTGGGAGATAGTGAAGGATGGGAAAGTCTGGCATGCTGCAGTTCATGGGGTTACAAAGAGCTGGACATGACTAACTGAACAACAGCAAAAAATAACAAGCGTTTTTGAGGAAGTCAGTTGACAACACACAATATTTATACATATGCACTGAGATCTCAATATTAATAAAACCCTATGTATAAATGCTACCCAAACACACCTAATTTATTCTATACTTGGCAATGGATCGCATGCTATGATGCTGTCTTACAGTTCCATGCCCTGGGTGTGTGGATGCTTTAATACAATGCTCATGTAGGTATCTTGGGACTATTATAATTTGTATGCAGAGACTAATATCAACACATTTGCGTTTAAGTCTTCAAGTGTCCCACTAAATTATTTCCTTCTCTTTTAGGCATATTTTTCTCATCTGGATTTGATGTAGATTTGCTCTCACATAAGTATCTGAGGAATGAGTCTGGACATCACTGAATAGGGCTGCTGGAAGGGAGGTGAGGGGTGGGAGTCTAGCGGCTGACCATTAAGTTGTGGTGTGGGCGTTTGGTTGAGAAAAACCAGCTGGCGGAGCAACGGTTCTATGTCTGATTCGCAGACATGGGCAGTGACCCCACCATCTGGTCAAGGAGGAGTCACATGCTTTTAGCGACTTCTTGTTTATTCTCAGAGTTTAACTTTGAGTTGAAATCAATTCTTTGCCAAAATCTTGATTTAATTAAGCATATCTAATTCTAATTTTAGAACTGAGCTTGGACCTTTATTCTAGTTCCTGCTCCAAGTGGAGCTCAAGGGAAAATAATGGTTTCTTCAAGATCCTTTCTGTCTTATAAAATTTAAGTGCAACCGGGCAGGGAGTAACTGAGCATCTCAACTAGGTTAGTGTCAGAAAGCCCTCTGAACTGTGAAATCAGGCTCATACAACAAGGTGAACTCATGCCTGGGCAAAAGAGAAAAGAGAAGGCAAAACGTTAAACATCTAAAACATTTGAAACCAGATTTTAATTGAAGTTTTCATTATTTAGTAGGAAAATCAGGTTCTGGAAAACCTATCTTGGCTTCTTCACATAGATTATAATGTAGTTTGGACTCTGAAAATATTACACATCATTTGAGCCTATTGAAATTTTCTTTTCTTCCTTTTAAAAGCATTTTAAAATGAAGTATAGTTAATCTACATTGTGTGAGTTTAAATTGTAAGCAAAGTGATTCAGCTATATATGTGTTCATATATATTAATATATATACATACATATATATTCTTTTCAGACTCATTCCTGCTATAGGTTATTATAACAGAAGATAATATACTTAGTATATAAGATAATGAGTTTAGTTCCCTGTGCTGTATAGTAGGTCCCTGTTGTTTACCTATTTTATATATAGTGGTGTGTATATATTAATCACAAATTCCTAAATTATCCCTCCCTGTATTCCCCCTTTGGTAATCATGTTTGTTTTCTATGTCTGTGGATCTATTCTGTTTTGTACACAAGTTCATTTGTATCATTTTTTTTAGGATTTCACATATAAATGATATCATGTGATATTTGTCTCTTCAGCCTGTTGAATTTAACACAGTGACTGACAAAGTGTAGTGGAATTAAAGGACTCCCAAGCCATTTGTTTCATTTATTCAGTCAAAACCCATTTACTGGTCACCTTCTTTCCAAGCAGGGAACTGAGCCCTGTCTAGGCCATCTGAAGGCTTCCAGACCCAGTATCCCACTGCCTCCATCACAAGCACCATCCTCACCATCACATCACCATCACCAGCATCATCTTAACACCACCACCACCCCCAAACCAGAACCCCGGTGCTGTCCCCTTCTGGCACCATCACCAACACCATTCTCTTCTGGAGCTCTAGGCTTTATTCAGACACTAACATTTTATTTTCACCCCAACCCTATAAGGCAGAGAACATAGGCCCCATTTAGTTTTGATGGAGATGGAGATAGGGAACACTGACATTACTTGTGTGAGTCCCATGCTAATGAAGGGAGTGCGTGCGTGCTAAGTCACTTCAGTTGTGTCTGACTCTTTGCGACCCCATGGACCGTAGCCCACCAGGCTCCTCTGTCCGTGCGATCCTCCAGGGAAGAATACTGGAGAGGGTTGTCTCATACTCTTCCAGGGGATCTTCCCGACCTGAGGATCCAACCCACATCTTTTATGTCTCCTGCACTGGCAGGTGGGTCCTTTATCACTAGCGCCACCTGGAAGAACCATACCAATTTTCCACCTCCCACACACTTGGTTTGCTGGGGGATGCAACAGGAAGCACCCTTCAATAACACTGAGGACAAAAACTTAGTGACGATTTGCTATGTTTATATCAGTGCTTACATATCTGGAAGCATCTTTATATTTGTTACATTATTTAAGCTTATAACAAGGGTGTATTATCATGGTATGGTGGCCCAGTGGTAAAGAATCTGCCTGCCAATTCAGATGCCAGAGACGCGGGATTGATCCCTGTGTTGGGAAGATCCCCTGGAGGAGGAAATAGCAACCCACTCCAGGATTCTTGCCTGGAGAATCCCATGGACAGAGGAGCCTGGCAGGCTACAGTCCATGGGGTCAAAAAGAGTTGGACACAACTGACCACACACATACAACACACACATACACACGCACACTATCATGGTCAGATTTAAAACATGTTTTACTGGATATCTCAGTCCCAAAGTCAATGTGCAATAAATTAGGCATCTGATAGCACATTTCAAAAATCAATCAAGTGTGACGTAGGTTTTTCCAGGGCCTTTGGTCAATTCTGGATCATCTTCCTCCAGGACATGGGCATGTGAAAAGCTAAACTGTAAAGTGCCTGTATTCAAACGGCCAAAGGATAATACTAAGACATTTGCTGAATTGGAATAGTTTTTTTTTTTTAATTTTTAGCTGTTTATTTTATACTGGAGTATAGTTGAGTAACAACATTATGTTAGTTGTTGGCATACAGCAAAGTGATTCAGTTTGTGCATAGATGTGTATCTATTCTGGAAACGGCACTTTTTAAAAACAAAGGTTTACACCTGAGTGGGCTTCCCTGGTGGTTCAGTGCTGAAGAATCCGAGTGCAATTCAGCAGCTGCAGGAGACTTGGTTTGGTCCCTGGGTCGGGAAGATCCTCTGGAGGAGGAAATGACCACCCACTCCAGTGTTCTTGCCTGGAGAATCTCATGGACAGAGGAGCCTGGCAGGCTATAGGCCATAGGGTCACAGAGAATCAGACAGAACCGAAGTGATGTAGCATGCACATACCTGGTGTCCCCCATGACTGATTTAATCACTGATTGGCTACTTCCTGCAAGAAAGGTGCTGGGCTGGTGTGGATACAAGATGAGAGAGACACAGGTCCAGCCTGTGACTGCTTCCCTCTCTGGTGAGAGAGCCAGATCCCCGGGAAAGTGTTTGACTCAAGAACTGCTGTACACCCAGACCTCCATAGGCACAGAGAAGTGTCAGCCTGGAATCCAGCGGCATTTTCAGGCTAAGGGCCTCCTGTGCTGAGCTCTGAAGCACAAATCGCAGCTAATCAGGTGGAAAGGAGGACTAGGGAAAAGGTCGGGCTGAGTGAACAGCACACAGCATCTTCGTGGAGGCTGGAAGTCCGGATCAAGGTGCTGGCTGACTCAGTTTCAGGAGGACTCTCCTTCCCGGCTTGTAGAGGGCCACCTTCTCCATGTGAGCTCATAACACCCTCCAGAACTGCGAGGACTGAGCATTGGGTGCTTAAGGCCCCTATCTGCAGTACTCTGTTACGGCAGCCTGCGACAGGTTCCCTACAACCCTAACCTCTCTATGTCAGGAGAGAGCATTCATTTCTTTGAATTCACTGCTGTGATTTTCCAACACCAGTGTGGGTAACTCACACAGCTCAAACCTAGCACATCCCACATGGCTAGCTTGATCTACCTTCACCCCTCACGCTTCAAACCTGTTCCTCTTCTATTTTTCTCCCATCTGAGTAAAGGTCATTCCCATTCCTTTACTTTGCTAACTGCCTTTCAGCTACTCAGGCTTTCTTTAGGTTCTGAAATGTCCCCACCCCAGGGCCTTTGTATATGCTGCTTTCTCTACTTGGGATGGGCTGGTCCCCACATTCCACTTGCTATCTCCAACGCATGCTCAGAGAGGCAATCCCGGATACGCCATCAGTCTGTCTTTTTTTTTTTTTTTTTTTATAATGGGCTCCAGTTTCATCCATCTCATTAGAACTGATTCAAATGAATTCTTTTTAATGGCTGAGTAGTATTCCATGGTGTATATGTACCACATATTACACAATTGCATTCTTTTCCATCATGGAACTCACTGCACTTTAGAATTGCTTATTTATTTGTGGATTTAAATGATTAATAATATCTGCCTCATCTCCCCACCACATGGTATCCTCCAGCGGGGCATGAACCATCTATTTTATCCATCACTGCAGCTGGTTCTCAGTAGGCCCTTCCTGAGACAGTGGATCTCTAGTTCGGCTGAATGTTGGAAGCAGCTGGAAAATTTTTAAAATTCTGATGCCTGTGTGTTTCCCCCAGAATTTTTGATTCAACTGGACACTTATTTTTTTTTTTTCTTGGTAAAGCTCCCAAGGAGGTTCTAAGGTTCAACAAAGTTCAAGATTGCTAAAAACTCATATTTTTGGACCTACAACTGGATTTATGGAATTGTCTTTGTGGGTAGAAGCTTGAGGATTTGCACTTAGATAGACTACCCAGGAGATTTTGAAGCAGACTCAAAATTTGAGGCCCACGGGTGCTGGGAGCCACATCAGAGTGGTTGTGGAAGAGACCCCAGTGGGCAGTAGGTGGAGGGGGGTAGGGGAGATGCCAGCTGGAGGTCCCAGGGCTGGTAGGGGCTCCTGCACTTTGGCTGAAACTTCCCATCACTGGAGGCTGCTAAAAAATTCAGGTTTTCAGGCTTCACCCTCAACTCAACCCCAATACAGTCTTACTTAATCGATCTTGGATCTTTGGTGGGGCCCTGCTGTCTGAATTGTTTAAAAACTCTCCCTGTGATTCTGAAGCAGCCAAGGCTTAGGACGGTGGGTAGGAGAAGCCCAGCAGAAGAGGCCTGAGCAGGCGGGATGGAAGGAGGGGGCTGAGCTCTGGGTGGAGCTGGCAGCTAAAAGGAGTGATAACCCAGGGTTTGGAGACCGTGGCTGAACCATCAGGTTCTAGGTTGGGAGAATGTGTTCACTTCTTTGAATATACTCTTTGAGTTTACTGAAAAACAACTTACCGCAATCTCTGCGGCTTAAAAGAACAGACACATACTCTTTCAAGTTATGGTGCCTGGAAACCCAAAACCAAGGTGCTGGCAGGACTGGTTTCTTCTGGAGGCTGAGGAAGAACACACTTTACACTTTTCTCCCAGCTTCCAGTGGCAGTCATCCATCCCTGGCTTGTAGACGCATTCTTTGGCTCTCTGCCTCCCCCTGGAACTTCTCCTCTGTCTCTGTCTTCAATCTCTGCTCCTTTCTCTTAAAGGACAGCAGTCGTAGGGTTTAGTTGTTCAGTCGCCAAGTCGTGTCTGACTCTTTGTGACCCCATGGAGTGCATCATGCCAGGCCTCCCTGGCCCTCACCATCTCCTGGAGTCTGCCCAAGTTCATGTCCATTGCATCAGTGATGCCATCCAACCACTTCATCCTCTGTCACCCGTAGAGCCCACCCTAAGTCCAGTTTAGGCTCATCTTGAAGTCCTTCACAGGTGGCGCAGTGGTAAAAAATCTGCCTGTCAATGCAGGAGGCACAGGAGACCCGGGTTCAGTCCCTGGGTCAGGAAGATTCCCTGGAGTAGGAAATGGCAACACACTCCAGTATTCTCTCCTGGAGAATTCAGAGGAGTCTGTCAGACTAGAGTCTGTGGGGTCGCACAGAGCTGTACATGACTGAGCAGGTGTGCGTGCACGCAGGTACTTGAAGTTCTTGCCTCTGCAAAGACCCTATTTCCAATTAGAGTCACATCCACAGGCACTAGGAGTTAGGACTTGGAATGGATTTTGGGGACACAGTTCAATCTACTCGAGAGGGTGCAAACCGCTCAGTTCCCTCCAGACTGTGTGGCTGACCGAGGAGGAAGCCCCCGGAGAGATGCCTGGGATGAGATCAGGACTTTGCATTCTTGCTTCTGAAACCGAGTCCCTGAAGACACAGCCCAAGGTGAGTGTTATGGTGGTGGGGAGTGGCAAGACTCTCAGATTTGAGATGAACAGCTTTGAAATTTTACATAAATACACACTCTGTCAATTAAGGTTCTCCAGGTGGGTGACTAGGTGGGTGGTTTGGATCTTGCCAGTTCCCCCACAAGCTTTCTGGGAGGGGTTCCTCTGGAGAGGTTATTCTTAAGCAGATGTTGTATTTAAGCCTTATTATTATTATCGTTATTATTTTGGTTAGTTATTTTTACACACAGAGTGTTTATTCATATGGGTGGCTTTGGACAGCTATGACAATCTGCTCATTCCCAAGTTTTCAAGGAAACTTAAAATACTTGGCAGACAGAAAAGGACTTTATCTTTCCTACTGTGCAGAATGGAGGCAAAGCTTGAGGGATTTTTTATGGCAGGGTGTGGCTGGCATTTTTGTTTACAGTAAATTGAAGAAGGAATTCTCTGGCAAAGCTAGATGCTAAACGTGAACATCTTCACGTAGACAGTCACCCTGTGGTCCTCCTCTTCTGCTTTGTGATTAAAGAGGCTGTAATGGGTTCATGGACCATTCTCTCAACTAGAACTGCAGAGACACTGTTATCACAGTAAGTAGCTTGAATTGCAGGTACTTTGAATGCAAAAAGAGCTTCCCTTGTGGCTCAGCTGGCAAAGAATCCGCCTGCAATGCAGGAGACCCTGGTTCAATTCCTGGTTTGAGAAGATCCCGTGGAGAAGGGAAAGGCTACCCACTCCAGTATTCTGGCCTGGAGAATTCCATGGACTGTATGATCCATGGGGTCACAAAGAGTCAGACACGACTGAGAGACTTTCCCTTTCACTTTGAATGCAAAAAAAGGGCAGTATCCTCCTTCTCCACCCAGTAACTTTATGGTTTTAGCTAAGCATCAAACTCTGAAACATGTGTTTCCCTGATTTTGTTCAGTGGGCTGAAAACTGTCCATTTAGATAAAGCAAATGTTTTACACCCATTTCCACGGAGGCTTCAGGCAGCAAGCTGTGGGCAGAGCTGCCTGGGGGATCCATTCGCTGCCCTGAGAAAGCACACATTCCAGAAAAATATGCCCACAATGACCTGCGCATCTTAAAACATGCTAGAAAAAGCTAAAAAAAAAAAAAAAAAAAGCTAAAAAACACAAAAAGATATGAAAGAATTTTCCTTTCTTATCCAAACACCCATTGAAAGTTATTTTCCCCTTACCTAATAGACAGTGTGAATCTAAAATATGCTTAAAAGTAAGTTTTTCTTATTTGGAAAACAATCTGTGTTGACTGTGGAACACACCAGCAGATTAGAAAAACATAGAAAGAAGAAAATAAAATCATGAGGACTCTCACCTCCTGGGAACTTTACGTGTTTCCCTGGCCCCTTCCGGGCAAAATGAGCTGCTCCAAAAATCCTTCAAGGGCAGGTTTATCAGCCACAGCAGGACTCCACTGGTCTCTTATCATCTCCTCTCAGACCAGCTTTTCTTCCTTTCTGTTCACTGCTGATCTTCCAGACCATCACACTCCTAGAACCAGTTCCTGTGAATTCCCACAGGACCAGATTTTTTTTTTTTTTTTCTTTTTCTTTCCCTTGTTGGAGAGTCTCACCCTAAGTTGCAAACTTAATTTTGATTTCCAAATTTAAATGGCATCAAACGAATTTTATCGTGGAGGTCACTGAATAGAGGGATGACTGGAGAGATGGTTGGGAAGACGTAGGCAGAATAAATAGCTTTAGTTGTCAGTTTGCAGCCTCTGGGCATTGAGAAGGATTTCTTTGAGAGTTTATGCCCTAACCTGGGCAATGAATCAGCCACACTGAAGTCTTTGGAGCCCTAAGGGTACCATTTACACCAAGACTTCTGCAGGATGTATTCATACCCTTAAAGGACCTCAGAAATGTCCAGAGGCTGCGGGACATAAACAAGAAATTAAGCCTCACCACCCTTGTTCAGCTCCTGGGTTCCTGGGCCCCTCCCACACTCCCTCCATAACGAAATTAGTTTAATCATATCTGGGATGGAGGTGAAATCAAATTTGTTCTTTAGTTCTGCTGCTTGGGTAGAGGCTTTCTCAAGGGGACTGGAAAGAAGTATTGTGTCCTCTGGGGATTGAAGGGAATGTTTCTCAGCAAATTGTATTTGCTAAGATCATCAGTTAGTTGAGAAGGAAATTGTGTAGCGGTCTAAAAGGAAATGGTAATTATTCCAAAGAGATCTGCCTTTACATAGCACATTAAAAAGTACCTTCCATAGTAGGAAACCCAGAGGTGGGGTGTTCCAGAACTGAGTGTGACGGCTCAGGGCCTTGCTCCTGCGCTCAACCACCCTGGGTCACCAGAGTGGAGTCCAGTGTGTGCCCAGGATCACGTGGCTGCCCTTCACCGCTGCAGGGACAGCCGGAAAACACCTGCTTCCTCTTGGTTCTCTCCCACCTCCGGCTGCAGTAACACACACACAACGTAGGTGTATGTATCCCTGAATCATTTTGCTGTACATCTGAAACCAACACAACAATTGTAAATCAACAAAGTGTGTGCATGTTCAGCGGCTCAGTCGTGTCCAGCTCTTTGAGACCCCATGGACCGTATCCCGCCAGGCTCCTCTGTCCATGGGATTCTCCAGGCAAGAATACTGGAGTGGGTTGCCATTTCCTTCTCCAGGGGAATCTTCTCACCTAGGGATTGAATCAGTGTCTCTTACGTCTCCTGCATTGCAGGCAGATTCTTTACCGATAATCCAAGTGGAGTAACACTCCAACATAAAAAAAAAAAAAAAGCAGAATTCACCATTTAAAACATTTTAAACTGTATGATTCATTAGCCTTGAGTATATTCATGATGTTGTGCAACCATCCTCTCTATCTCATTCCAGAAAGTTTTCATCACCCCAAACGGCACCCTTAACGTTTCCAGGCCATGAGGACCACTACTGTGATTTCTGTCTCTATAGATCTGCTTTACCTGTCTATTCCATGTAAGTGGAACCGTATAGGAGGCTGCTTTCACGTCTGGCTTCTTTCACTCGGCATACTGTTTTCAAGTTCACCCTGTTACAGCAGATATCATTCCTTGTCATGACCGAATAAGATCCCACTGTCTAGGTAGACCACGTTTTGTTTACCCCGGTTGACGCCTTTGAAGAGCCTGGCAGATTTTCCCCAGTCCTGGTGGATGCCTCCTTCATCTCATGGACCAGTTCCGGATGCCACGCTGGCTTCAATTACAAGGACAGACAGGGCTATGGGATTCGGGGCACAGCTCACCTTCCATCTGGGGAAATGCCCCACCCACTGGCTCTCGGAAGACTACAGGGAGTATGCTGAATAAAAGGGGAACTCTGCCGGCAAGAATGGGCATGGGGAGTCATTTGGGCAGGCAATCCAGGGTGCCTGCTGCAGCCCCTGCCTCCTGAGTTTATGACATATTTCCCTGACTTATGACATATGCGCAGCATGTTTAATAAAGCATGTGGCTTAAAACTGACATTTGACAAACGTTCCAGTATGATAGATATCATTTACCAAGCAGCCTATGAGGCCAGATGGAATTTATAAAAGGCAGTCTTTTAAAAACATGTTTCCCAAGTCCTAAGTTCCTATCTAAGTTTAAGGATGTACCAGGGAATCTGAGGGGGAGAAAGACATGTGTGAAGAGATTTCCTGGGTGAGAACTGCTGCATTTTGTATCTTTCACCTTCATTCCACCCGTCCTTCCTCGTCCCTTAAGTGGGGAGGGGGCAGCTCGCCCCTAGTGACGGGCGTGCTCATGAGACCATTCGATGGTCTGCAGTGGGTTCTCTGCAGTCGGGAGGACCAGATGCTTGGGCTTTGGGGCCTGGAAAAGTCCAGGGAGCCTACGGCCATCATCAGTAAGGAAGCCAGGCTGGAACTGACCAACACAAGCTTTTCCTGATGACCTAGCATGGGCCAGCCAGAAGAGGGACTGGTGTGAGTCACGTTGGTCTTGTCCAAGAGGCCACCCAGAGGGGCCCTGGCCGCAGAGAGAATGCCTCATCCCTGGAGCTGAAGGAGGAATGAAAACAGGACTGTCCACACCAGATGCGTCTACCTGGGTGGACACTTGTCTAGCCATGGCGGGAAGGAGTCCAGGGAGGGTCACATGGGTGTTGATGGACTGGCAGAGGCAGAGCCAATGCCCTATTGCTAATACGGGGAAAGAGCTTTTCAAAGGGGAGTTTCAGGGGTGTATAGGTGGGGGGAGGGAGGGGGCCTCTACGCTGAGCAGGGCAGTCAGCTCTGACAATCATCTTGAAATTGGTGACACAGGGGTATGATCGGTGTCATCTTGATGTTTTCAAGTGCGGTTAGCCTCCAGTTACGGGGTTGAGTTGTTTCCATTTCCTTGAGGCCGGTTCTCAGAATTACAGCATCTTATGTCACAGCTATAGTCTGCTCATCACATAGTTAACTTGTTCCCTATGGTGGGGGTTTCGGGATCTACAAAGCAGCTGAAAGAATATAGCTCAGAATATTTTCTGTAGACCTTGAGGAGGAACTAAAAATCGTTGACTGTTTAACGGCTAAACTATTATTATTTTATCTGGTTTGACCGTTTGTTTCTGCATTTTTCTATGTCTCTGATTAAATCTGTTATTTGGCTAAAGGTCTTCTACAGACAATAGACAGATGGAGGATATGGTGGGTGGGGGGTGGGGGTCTCTCCTGGCCCTCCTCTATTACATGGCACAAAGTTATAAGAAGGAGGGTAAGCACTGGCTGGGGCGTGGTGGGCAAGTGAGCTGGACAATGGGCAAGTTAGCCAGCTAACCACCTTGTCTTGGAGTTTAGGCCTGAAGTATTGCTAGGGTGTGTGTGTGTGTGTGTGTGTGTGCAGGGTGTATATGTGTATAATAGTCCTCTGAGTATGAGGTACCTTAGTGGTTTAGTTAATGTAGTAGGGAGAACTGTTCTCAGAGGCACAGTTGTCTTAAATCAAGATACTATTTCCCTGGTCCAGGAATAGAACCTAACTGCCAGTCCACCAGGGGCTAAAGGCTAGAAGCAAAATTTCCTGATTCTTACCCCATCTGGAACTAAGAATGTTTCAAGGAGGCAAAAACTGCAAAATAGGTACAAAGTTTATTATTAGAGATACAGTATAATACATGGGTGAGCACCCAGAGAAACAGTTTATTTATTTATTTCAGAGGCAAGGCAGAAATACACAGCCAGAGAGGAGTATGGGCATCCTAGGTAAGGAGCATAGCAAAGAGGCGACTTACATCACTCTTTATAGGACAGTCCTTCCGGGTCTTTGTCTACACATGACCAATTAGCCTGTTTCTTTCTCCACACCTGACTAGTCTTAGGCCCCTCCTCAAGATGCATGTGCAACTTTTTTCTAAGGAGGATCCCACCTTAGAGGCTATGGGTGCATGTCCAGACTCAGTACAGTGTGGGGCACCCTCCCATTTTGACCCCTCAAAAGCTTTCCTGCACATGTGCAGACAAAGAAGTCTTCCTTGACCTCAGGAGTGGGCGCTTTATCTCTTTAGCAGAGCTCAGCTTTTGCTACTAGCTTTGTCCTTGGACTGTCTGGGTGAGAACAAAGCTTGAATCTTATTTCACTTAACAAACATCAGATGTCCAGTCCAGGGACCCGTCTATCTCCTACCTCAGAACGATGACGCCCAAAGTTGTCCATGCCCTAATCCCTGACCTGTAAACAGGTACATTACATGGTAAAGGCGAACAAAGGCTGCAGGTGGGACTAAGGTTGCTAAATAGCTGCCCTTATAATAGGGAGATTTTCCTGAATTATCTTAATGGGCTCCAATGTAAACACAAGGTTCTTTAAAAGTGGGACGAGTCAGAGAAGATATGACCTTGGAAGCAGGTGAGAGTGATGGTCTGGGAGGACTCAGCCCACTGCTGGCTAACTCTGAAGATGCAGGAGCCATGGGCCAAGGAGCACAGGGGCTCCCTAGATGCTGAAAAAGGCAGGGGAATGGATAATACTTTCCCCCAGAGCCTCCAGAGAGGAATGCAGCCTTGTGGACACATTCATTTGAGCCAAAAGGGACCCCCAAGAGGACTCCTAACCTGCACAGCTGTAAGATAATAAGCACATTTGTGTTGTCTTAAGCCACCCTGTTGGTGGCAATTTATTGGAACAGCCACAGAAAATGCACAAAGTCAAGCTGGAATGAGACTGAAACCTGCATTTCAAATTCAGAAACATCAATGCTTGATTTGTTGAAGCTGAAAAGTTTGAGTCTACTGCATGCATTGAAGAAAATCCTGTGCATCCAGAAGCTGGAAGTGCCTGGGATGGAGGTACTGATGCTCTAGAGTGAGGATGGAGGTACTGATGCTCTAGAGTGAGAGCCACAGAGAAAGGGCCAATACCCTGAGCCCATCTGAGAGCGTCTGCTCTGCCTGAGGCCACGCCAGGTCCCATCTCCATGGACTCCATCCCCCAAGAAGACCAGGAGCAGGTGATGTCTTGACCATGTCCCCAGTACTTCATCTGTCTTCTTTCTACTCATTGCTAACTTCAGACCCCAGGTCCAAAAGGCAGGGGAGGCCCTGCCCAAACACCCCTTCCAGTGGCCTTGCTTTCTGGTGTGCTGATCACAGACTGTATTTCATGCACACGCATTACCTGCCATCCTCGTCTCGCTCTAGAAATGATGCACCAACCAGCATCTCTTATTAGAGTAGTCAGATCTTTTTGCTGTTGTTATTTAGTCATTAAGCTGCGTCTGACTCTTGGCGACCCCGTGGGCTGTAGCCCACCAGGCTCCCCTGACCATGGGATTTTCCAGGCAAGAATCCAAGAGTGGGTTCCCATTGCCTCCTCCAGAGGATCTTCCTGACCCAGGGATCAAACCCACAACTCCTGCTTGGCAGATCTTTACCAAGGAGTAAAGCTAGGAATCTGAGACCCATATCAATCATGGCATTTGTGTAAGTGGATATTTCACTGCCTTAAACATTTCTAAGAGATCAAGCCGCAAGGGTGTAAATTATGCTTTTCAGGCATTAAGAAAAGCTTCGTGGTGCAGAGGTGATTTTCTAATTTCATTCCCCATTGCCCACAGTTACCATGAATGGAGAGAAAAAATTTAGCACCAATTACATGGGATTTCCCCAAGCTGGTGTCGCAAACCTTTAAATGCTTATTTCTTCCTAAGTCTGACATGCCTTTGTTTGGAGGCTGACGTTTGTACAATATGGATCACACATCAGAAATGACCTCATGTTAGAGCTACCATGAAAGAAAGTGAAGTCTCTCAGTCGGGTCCAACTCTTTGCGACCCCGTGGAGTGTAGCCCACCAGGCTCCTCCGTCCATGGGATTCTCCAGGCAAGAATACTGGAGTGGGTTGCCATTTCCTTCTCCAGGGGATCTTCCCGACCCAGGGATCGAACCCTACTTCACTTTCTTTTCTTTCTATAATTCAAAATGATACATGCACCTCTATGTTCGTAGCAGCACTGTTCACAATAGACAAGACATGGAAGCAACCTGAATGTTCATCCGCAGATGATGGGGTAAGGAAGATGTGGTGGATATATGTAATGCAATACTACTCAGCCATAAAAAGAATGGAATAATGCCATTTGCAGCAGCCTGGATGCAACTAGCAATTATATTGAGTGAAGTCAGAAAGAGAGACACAAACACCGTATGATACCAACTTATATGTGGAATCCAAACTGTGACACAAGTGAAACTGTCTAGAAAACAGAAACAGACTCACAGACATAGAGGACAGGCTTGTGGCTGCCAAGGGGCAGGGAGTTGGGAGACGGATGGAGTGGGAAGGCGGGGTGAGCAGATGTAAGCTGTTATATGCAGGAGAGAGAGGCAGCAAAGTCCTACTGTATAAACTAAAGTCCTACTGTGATAAACCATAATGGAAAAGGCTACAAAGAAAGAATGTATCTACCTCTATGTATAAACTGAATGTATAAAAAAGAATGTACAAAAAAGAATGTATATGTGTATATATATATATATATATATATATGTAAACTGAATCAATTTGCTGCACACCTAAATAAACACATGAAAAATCAACTATGGTTCAACAAAAAATTAAAAAGAAACAAAGAATGAAAAAAGATCTATTAGTAATTCAAGTTTTAAAAAAATTCAGTGCTTATCCTTTGTAGCTAAAGCTTTTTTCAACATCTAATGTACTTGATCTTCCTTTTTAATTCAATGATGTGTTCTAAACAAGCTTAGTCAGCTTGCAAGCTTTGAGTGGAGCTTGTCCTATGGATGTTGGGCCATTTTCTGACCCCGAGCTTTATTAATAAGGACGGTGAGATACCTTTCTGCTAAAGGTTTTGTCCGTGGCAGATGGGGGAGTGCTTTATCAGCCTTTCCTCCCTGTTGCCTGGGAACAGACAGCATTTAGTCAGA